CAGGTCCAGTGCACAGGTTCTTCTCACATACCAGTCACTCAGCCTTGGAGCATGTACACAAGCTCATCTACTTAGTCTGTGAAACTTGAATTCAGCTTTCCATTTATGGCCAGAAGCCCTTTTCTGACTTACTGGGATTTTCCAGTCTTCAGTGGGTCCTGGCAGCATGCTTTTGAGTTGACTTTGGACTTACCCAATGCACATTAGGTTTTCCCTGATCCAGGTGTTTGCACAACCCACCTACAAAAACCTAATATGCCCAGTTCTCAGGACAACTGTGTGACTAGCCTCCTGTGAGAAATGCATCAATAACAAAATTGATTTCCTTCTTCCTCAAATACCTGCTTTGGCTGTACAAAAGGGGATTTTTTTTATGCCCTGAGTAGCCTCCAAATTTATCCTGATCAGAAGAGAAGTACAGAGTATATTTTATTAAGAGCACTGTGACAGCCTTCTGAAGTCTGTTCACAACACAACAGTTGCTTCATGAGGAATATCACACAGTAGGTTACATCTCAGGGAAAGTACCTGTTTTCAGAAATGCTACCCATTTAGGTCTGCAGAATTCTGAAACACAAGAAGAGGGTTTTCTCCCTGTCTACCATATTTTTGAGGCTGATGCATGATCTAGAAGATGCCAGAACCCCATGAAGGGGCTAACATGCTTGGCGCAGTCCTAGGTCATACCTACAAAAGCAAAGGAATAACATGGTGTACATTAGAACTTCCTGTGCACAGACCTGAGGTATTTCTACACCTCTAAGAAATCAAGGCACTGATGTACCCCAGGCTTAACTCAACTTCCAAACTGTTGTCTTAACCCGAGGGCTTAGCCTGCCCCAACAACCCTTTCCTAACCATTCTAGACAGCAGAAGACACAGCTCCTGATCTGGAAAATAACCAGAAGTGATTTTGCTCAGAAACACTTCTCAAGGCAGGCATACCCCTCAGATAATGCTTTTTACTTCCTTTCTCACCAAACACCACCTCCCTTCACTCATCCATTTTTGATAATGTGCTTCCAAGTTGTTTCGAGGCTTGATCTTAATTTTCCTGTTGTTCAAGTAATTTTATATAATAGCACCTATCATGCTAGGCACTTAACACATGAGACATTGTGAGTTGGATGCAAGGGGCTCTCTTCAAATCCAAGCAGCATGAAGGACAACAGATGCATTTTATTACCTCATTCTCACGGTCAGTATTCTTTATGAAACCTTAAAGCAATACAGTTCTTCACGCAACAAGTTGGTCAACAGCATATCTTCATCTGAGTGATGATCCAAAACTGGATTCTCCTCCAAAGGCGAGTTCTTTGATACAGCATATAGAAGGCTGTGGTACTGACAGCCTTGATACAGCATTTGACTGCAAATGTTTTGTGCAGTTTGAGGACTTGTCTTAATTCCTTCTGAAAGGCAGAGATGTCTGAAAAAGCTGTGTCAACATGCACAGCTGCCAGGGGAAAGCAGAAAGGCATACCCATAAGAGTATGGCTAGAATAAGACCTTATGACTTTTAAGGGATTTTAAAGGGAAACAAATGCACATTTTCCCCAAGTATAGCCATAGTAACATCCATGAATTAACAGCACATTTTCTCCTCTCAGGTAAGGGATTACAACAGAACACAGACCCCTCTCCAGTAATTGACATATAGTGCAGACTGATGGGAGTAAATACTCAGGTGGTACTCAACTTCTCTTCCCCTAGCATTCCCTGCGAGGAATGGATGACAGAGCAGCACTGCCACTCTGACCTGACAGTACCTCAACCATTTACTTCTGTTCAAAAGCAGAATCTCCAGCCACAGCTTGTCTGGAGAACCCTCTCAAGCATGAAGTAGTTCCTACACCTGATGCTTGGTTACAGGCTAGGTAAGGCAGCCCAGGTTTTTTTCTGTGGCAGGCCACATGTCATTGTAGCAGCTACAGACTTATACTACAGGAAAAGTAAGGTCCATCTACTTCTCAGAATCCATAGAAATCATCATCTTAGCTATCACTATTGCTGTCATGCATGCACAAACCCCACTCCACTCACAGTCCACGACACAGTTTGTCAGGTATTAACATCACAGAGAACTTCCTTCCTACATACGTAGTTACACTGGGACATCAAATCTCCAAACAGGTTGTGGATAAGGCAAAGATACAACACTGTCCCCATGGCTTTAGGTGCACACACAGTCAACCTGAGACTCACATCACACAGCACATCAGGAACTGGATTCCCAGGCGTCTTCTCTGAACCCTGGCACAGACTTCCTGAAGACAGGACAGACATTTATGAATATCAGAACCAGCCAGCAGATGTGCTTGGCGGACAGGGAATGACAGCTTCTTATAAACATGCATTCATTATCAGCACGCTTTTCCTTAGCCTCAGGTCCAAACCTTGGCATAAAGGTTGCTTTCTTTCAGTCCTCACAACCACAAATCTGGGAAGACAGTGTTTTTGGAGGACACTATCAGCAGAAGAAACTTCAAGCCTGACTGAGCCCAATTCTAAGCACAGACAGCATGGAAACAGATAGACCATTAAATAATTCATTGAAATAATTAACTTTAAGGACTGCCTTTTTTTTTTATTTTTCCAAATTAAACATCAGCTCAGAACAAAATTACATGAAAACTGCAAGCCCACAGAGCCCTCAGGGAGAAAGGAGAAGTACTGAATGAAAATACTAGTTATTTCAGACATCATAAACTTCTATTCCAGTGTAAGCTTACCCTCTTGTATTGAAATCATAGGGTCTTATTTCACATGGACACCTGCTTTTGCCTAATCCTCTACTAACTCAAGGAGCAGGTAACATGCATGTAAGTTTTAGGCTCCTATTTCAACTAGGCTTACACCTGGTTTCCGGAGTGCAAGAGTTAGGGTACACTGGTAATGTTTGCTGTCTCTCCTACATCTCCTGCATTCTGATGAGGTATGCAAATTACTTCTCTCTGGGATTAACCCATGTTAAATACAGTCAGAAGGACTTAATCAGATTAGTCAAGCTAAATAGATAGCCATCTCATGTTCTTCTATTCATCAGACAACAAAACCAACAAATAAACATAACAAGCAAAGCAGTAAATATTTTGAGGCCAATCAAACTGCAGTCAAAAGGTCTTCTTTAGAAGCTGCAGACACATAATAGTACTCACATGGTAAAGAAGAACTGAACCTTTAAAAACTCTCCAACAAGATGCCTTTGGATTTTTATTTGTCAAGTAAAGGGCAAAGGTAACATCCGAACAATAAAAAACCCCGAACAAAACCACATGCTTGAATAAAGTCAACACAACCTGACCTCGTGGAGGTTTACAGGAAGACCTTCTCTATTTCTATCCACATTAGGATGAGATAGCCAGATCTCAAAACACAAAACACCTTCATGGGTATATCAGTCATCTTCTGCTGGCTAAATCAAATACATATTCAGAACATTTGTTCTATCATTATAATCAAATAAACCTCATTTTCAAAAGGGCAACTTTGAGAGTCCCTCAGGTTTCCTTTATAATAGCATATGGAGCAGATATAACAGCTTATCAGTTGCACCAAATATGAATTTGGCAAAAGGGTGTCTTGTAATTGCAAGGGTTCACAAACCCACTGTTCCTTACTTCAGGCAAGTCATCCAGTATTGTCCACTAAATCATCTCATTTGTTATGGCTAATCTGGGAAAGGAGATAGAATAAACTCCTGTCCTGAACACAGGGAGAAACCAGTCAACACTCTGTAAACTTCATAGTTAAATGCTATCACAAAACATCTGTTTTGCTCTACACAGAGCAAAAAAATTATTTGGACTAATTTGTTTTTCTGAAAAATTACTCAACTTAGAATGAAGAGATTCACACTAATGAGAAATAAGAGCTCCCAGCCCCTCTATAAGATACTGAAAACTTCCAAACAACAGTTTCCATGTCATCTCCTGTGTCTCTCTTCAGAAATGCTATTTAAGAAAAGAAAAATAGGAACACTTGCATGAAAAAAGGATCTTTGCATCCAACAGCCTCATCTTCCCCCACTGATTAATCTTTCCTGAGGGCCCAAAACAGGAGCTGCCAATAGAAAAGGAAAGCATACAATCAACTTAACTGGGCACAAGAACAACTTTTACTCCATAATGAGAAAAAGAGGACCTGCTCTACAAATCCAAGAAATGCACAACTGATCTGCAAAAATTGATCAGAGTCAAATCATCATTAAGAACCTACGGTCCCATACCTTGGAGCGTTTTACAGAATGCACAGCCAACAAGTAGGAAACTGATGCCGGAAAGGAGAATACACAGAAAATACAGTTGCATAACACTAGGACAAGGGGTTCAAACAATCCAAACTCCTACAAGAATGCTACCATTAACCACCTCTCTACATGACAAAAAAGGAAAAAAACTACCAAGAATAGCAGTTAAAGGCTCACAGGCATCCTATAGTGTCTCATTTTGACCACTGGTAAAAAAAACAATCAGAGCAGCGAGGAAGGAAAGACGGCAGCCACACGAAGATATAGGTTTATAGCCGCCCTCCAAGAGAAGGAAGACCAAGAAGTCTGAATCTGATTGAAGAAAAAAAGTCCATAAGCAAATTGATCCACTGTTTTTAGCTAACACAATGCCATGCTTTGGCCATCCCTACCACATATACAAATTATAGCCTTGACATTGCCAAGCTGAGCAATACACACTCCAACTCCCACTGCTCATATTTTTTTAATCTTCTCACATGACAGTGCAAAACATCTACATTTAAAAACGAGGTCCAGAGCAGTACTTTTAGATATCAAGGCGTGTGCAGGCAAATTAAAAGCTTTCATATAATTTACATGAAATTTATATAATTCATACAATTTACTGTTGCTTACCTAAGCATCTGCAGAAACATGGGTTTCCACGCCAAAGTTTTCAAAACAATGACATTTCTGTTTCACAGCAGCCATAATATACATGGGAACTGCCATGCAAAAAGAGCTCATGTGTGCAATTGTCTTTTCTTACCAGCCATTATTCTCTGGGCTTCGTACGGTTCCATGTAGCCCGTGTTCTCTCCTTTTCCCATTCTGTTCAACTCACTTTTGGCATCAAACGGATCTGAGTAGTCATCAGCTATCAAGACCTGAAAGACAGAAGTAACTGTTACTGAATTCTCCAGTCAGTTGTGCAAAACAGAAGGCAGTAACACCCTATCAGGAAAAAAAAAAAAAAAAAAAAAAAAAAAAAAAAAAAAAAAAAAAAAAAAAAAGGCGTTTCACACAGCTGCACTCTATGCCATCTTCAAAGCACAGTCTGAGTTCGGAGGAGAAAGAAACAATTGCCACAGATCAGTTACTAAATGGTAAATTAAGTACAAGTGTGCTCCTGTTCACACCAGAAACCTCACAAAGGCAGACTCTGTGTCGAAAAGATTTCTGACAATCACAAGCTATAGAATAATTGCAATGGACAAATTAGAAAGAGCCAAACAGTCAGCAAACTCAATCCAGCGCAACTCCTACCAGAGAATTTTGCTAATATTCAGGGGGAAAAAAAAAAAAAGCACATTTTCTCCTGCACATACTTCATACCCTCTGCTTTTTAGGTTTATTGGCTACAACTGAAAATACTGCTAGAAATTCTTCAAATAAATATTCAAAGGCAACTATTTTCACTATATTAATAAAAATCTTTGTAATTTTAGTTCTCAGCTGAAAGGAAAAAAGACACAAAACAAGCTTCTTAGCTAAATTTAGATGCTTGAACCCGTTTGTGTCATTGTTTCTCTCAGAGAAGCATTATATTTACTTATTCTTTGTGAACTGAGACAAAAGGCACCAAAAAGAAATACGGTCAGAACACGTTTTCCTCTTCCACTAGAAGACTAAAAGAATCTGAAGGTTAGAAAATCTCACACCTTACATCACTATGCCTTCTGATCCCTGCAAAATCACTGAATGTGCAAGTTCCATATATAGTTTTCTTTAATCAGTCAATTGAAGTCACAGGAACTATTCCTCTCTATAATTGAAGGGGCAGAGCTAATCTTCATTTCTAGAGGGTGACAAGGGGACTGGGGCAAGGGCAAAAATTCTCACATCAGAATTATTGCAGAGCACGGAGATGTAATGTACAACAGACAAGAGAATCTGAAGCTAAGCAGAGGCACATCTCAGCATGAGAATCCCCACAAACAGAATCATAAAATAATTCAGGTAGGAAAGAATCCCAGGAGACTGCCTTGTCCAACCAAACACTCAAAGCAGAGCAAGCCTAAATGGCTCTGTCCTCAAGGCTTACTCTGTTAAAGAGGGATTTTTCAACCACCAGTTACTTTACATCCTTAAGACCAGAACCAGTAAGACTTAAAACAAACTGCTATTCCAACAGCTTCAATCTTTTCCACAAAGAACCAGGAGTTCACTGCTAGCTAAGAGACCGAAGCTGCATCCGCTTCTGTCTCCTGCTGCCAACAAACCCCACCAGACAGAGAAGAAAAACAGGACACTCAGGTATTTACAGATCAAACACCTTCACAAATTCTATGGAGTAAATGAGCACTGTGTAACTCCTTTAAAATTAGGGAACACACCATCTAACACACTTCAGTGTCATTACTCAGGCCCTGCAACATTGCCACACTGCAATTTTATACTACTTATTGGCTTATTTTACTACTAGGACTGATGTTTTAACTATATTTTTTGTGTGTTTTCCTCCAGTCAAAGTCTAAAGTGACTGGAAATTTCTTTTTGACCAGAAATCACCAGACTGGCATGGATCATAGAGGGAGGAAAATATAATTCTTTTCTCTCACTTGGTGTCCAAAATTACTCGCTCATTATTGTGAAAAGCAGTTAACACAAAGGGAAAAAAGTCCCCTCCCCCCTGTCTAGCAACATATGCCCAAGCAGCAAATCAAGCAACAGCAGCTGCATGCACTTGAGACAAAGACAATAATGTGTATCATGCAGCAGTAATTTCTCCTAGTCACAAGGACAGGTTTATCTCCAAAAATGATCCAGTTGAAATGCCATCCATGTAGCCTTCTGATTTGATCCTGTCAAGAGCTGCTAGGTGGTAGCATGGCCTCTGTACTGCTCTCCTATTGAAACACTGGCATGTAATACTCACCAACCCTTAGCATAACTGTACTGAAATATGAAACAGAATGCAGTCTTAACACAGCTGTTTGATATTTCTTCTTCTCCATTTTGCAAAAATATACTGGGAGGAAAACTATACATATAAAATGCTGTCAAACAAGACCACCCCCTCAAAAAGCCAAAAGATCCCCTGACCCAAACAACCCTCTCCCACAACAAACCTCAAACACATTTTTCAGCACTCAGGCAGAAGAAAGAGCAGCCTGCTTCACCCTTCCTGGAACTGCATATCTTCTTAAAGGAGGATTTACAACTCCAAGCTGTCACAGGGTTTCCTAGCTGACTGTTACTGTGTCCATAAATATTAAAATCTAGTAATTGTCAGCCTGGATATAGCAGCTGGCCAGTGCCAGAATTTGATTTCTTCTACACTTGCAGACAGTTATAAATTCTCTACTTCTATAAAGTCTGAAGTTTTTCTACTTCTTTCAAAGCGAAGCCAAGGCTTGAAAACCTCAAATGAGTATGCTTGTTCGTTCTGTTATAACATACCTACTGCGAATGTCTGGACTCCTTTTCATAATTCCATTTCAGAAGATTGTTTCTCCTGTTTCCAGAGATCTCAGCCAGAAAAAGGACTCCTAATCTGCCAGTCCTTGTGCCATCTCTACATAAATTACTTTTACCTAACAAGCTCATTTTCCAAGCCTATATGCAGCAGGTCAGACAAAGCACAGACAAAGACTTCTGATGAAATACAAGGTTCCAAGTACATCAATTTTCTAGTCATGGTACACATAATAATCAAAACATTTGCTTCATGATAGGTCGTATTAATACATTGTCCTCATACACCTTCATGCCATCCTCACAAAGCACATGCTTGCCACTGTTACACACAAGTTCTGTTCACAAAGTATCGCAGGTACGTGCCTTGATTGTGCATTTGGGTCCTGCAGATCATGACCTCTATCACCTCAAAGCCATGTAGGGAAGATCCAATGTGAGAACATTACACTGGCACCTCTCCCCCATGGCCACGTAGGAGCAGGCCTTTCTGTGTGATGACTGAAGTGCCTCCATGTTCACTAGAGCTCATCCACTTTCCAGCAAGGGTTATTTGTTGTGTGCTTTGTTTGTTTATTTTTCTCCCAACAACCTTTCAGCCACTGCCCAGCAAACTGGTCTCAGCCGTTTGTTTTGTCCAGAGGCCAAGGCCAGCACAGATCATCCCAGGTTAGGGCCTGCATGCAGTGCCCTTTCCACATCTTTAATTAAGTGCACTTTCAAGGCAAATGGCTTAACTTCTTGAATTGGCCTCCAAGTTGATGCTTCACGCTAGTGACAAACACTGGACAGAAAAGAGAAGGGAATGGACGCCATCCATCATCTACCAATGCACCCCTCCCAAAAGTCTCAAACAGTCCAACTATCCAAGACCTAATGCTGTACTCCCCACATCTACCCTGGACACAATCACAGGAGTGGCAAAACGTTGAGGTTTTGTAACTATGGCTAGAGAGAACATTCATACGCAAGTTCTGACCCTTGGAGCAGGACACATTTCATTTGCCTCCCTCTTCTGCCAAATCCGGCCATCTTCCTCAGGGGTCCTACCTATCAAAACGAAAGACAGCTATCAGGAAACCCCGGAAGGATTCAGGCAGTCATTCAGACTCCAAATTAATGTTCACTACATTTGTAAAGGCTATTTTCAAAGACCTGTGGCTTACTTCTCATTAGAATGCAAGATGACCAGAGTAGACTGTGAGCTCCTACAGCTACTGATTCCTGCTCTATACAAGCCCGTTCTGTGGCACACCATGCACATATGATACTATTTTCTATCAGGCACATGTAGTAAGTAATAGTAGCTTGAGGTATCAGTAACATCAAGGAAAGAAAATTCCAACCCATCAGTAGAAGTGCACTGATCAAAAGAGGTCAACAAAGATTTAGGGAACACTCAGAGGAAATACGTTCTAGTGGGATGTCTTTGAAACTCCAAAGACAAAGAGTACAGCTCAGTTACCAGACAAGTTGACAAATTCAAAATCACAGCTGTAGCTAAAAAGTTAGTCAGCAGATTCAAGATGAGAAAAACAACAACCAAGCCCCAGAAAATAAAACAGAAGCTGAGATTCTGGTTTGTTTACCCCTCTATTATGTATCTTAACTCAGTTGCAAGCTTCACTGTTGACGCACAGTCTTTGTTCTCCTACAGTCTTAAAAAAAAAAAGAAAAAGTCTAACAAATACTATCATATTAAATACAAGTTTAAGTGGGTATTTGCATATAGAGAGAATTATTTGCATATACTTGCCACAGGAAGAAACCAAAGAACACGCCTTTATGCATAATTTCACAGGTATCTCTATCTGACTAAAAAAACACATTTTAAAGGGAACAGACAAGAAAGAAACAAATGAGAACTTACCACACTAAAATAATCGGGGTAAACCCTTTTTGAATTGAAAGGAAACACAAAAGATCTAACTATCTTTAAAACATCAACAACTTCAGCATGGAACTGTTTGTTATTTCACTCATTTAGCGGTTGTGATGATCAAGGACACACTGTTCTGGAATAATCCAAGAGGAATTATGATAAACAAAATGTAGCAAAAAAACCTGAAAGATCTCTCCTGCCCACCAGGCCTTTGGGAGATTTATTATGGGAGACTCATTTGTGGCAGGGTGGGGGGATTTTTGAGGGGGAGGGAAAGATCTGTTATTAAAAAATAATATATATTATTATTTTATCAATATATAGAATCATAGAATGGTTTGGGTTGAAAGGGTCCTTAAAGATCATCTAGCTCCAATCCTCTTGCCACAGGCAGGTGTAAATTAATATATAAAGGCAGACCATATATTGGTCTTCTTGAGCTCTTTTGACCTTCGTGATCAACAGTCAAGTCCTGCAAAACCACAGACAGGAATGTGTCACTGTCAGCAGAGATACAGAAGACAAAATCACTTAGAAATTGGGAATACATCCACACCACAGTTAACTGACACAATTTAACACAACGTA